GTCTTGGTTGTAGCGGATGTATTTAATGGCGGAGAAGGCGAAGGAGAGGCCCTGTGAGAGCTGGACGCCGCGGACGACGGGGAGGGGCAGGAAACGGTAGAGGGTGGACATGAGACCGGAAGCGCCGAGGATTAAAAGAGTTGCGGCCGTGGAGGCACCTGCAGTGGCGATCTGGGAGGGGGTTAGGTGAGGGGTCTCAGAGACTGCCACGGCTGCGATGGACTTCATGGGCTGGACGGGCATGGGGATACCAAAGAGTAGCCCGGTGGAGATGTTGTTAAAGGCTGTGAAGATAAGGGTGGTAGAGAGGTCAAGGTTGGACACCAGAGTTAGGGTCAGGACTATTGGGATGAAAGTTCCCAAGTCCCCAACTGCTCCGGAGAGTTCAGATGAGAGGCTGTTTTTAAGTTGCAAGTGGCGGCGCCACCAAGTATTGCGGTGGTCATGGTGGATGAGAGGAGTGGCGGAGGAGAGGGAATGTCCGTCCATGGCTGAGGTGGTGGCTAGAGACTAGACTTTTTCTTCACTTTTTAGTGTTTACGTAACATATGAATTTGTATAGAAAAAATTGGAGGTCCACTTCATAAATAATTAAGGTAGCCTTTCCGGTTGCTGCGAAGTGGTGAGTGACCGACGATGAGAAGGTGGAGAGCAATGGTAGAGAAGAAGATGAATATTTCCTAGAGAGCAGCGACTGCACTGCTCTAGAACCTGAGATCGGTCTTGAAATCCTAAGCGATCTCTTGCACAAGGCTCTGGAACGGAAGCTTTCGGATCAAGAGCTCAGTACTCTTCTGGTACTTCCTGATCTCTCTCAGAGCCACAGTTGCCGGCCTGAAACGGTGAGGCTTCTTCACTCCTCCGGTGGCCCGTGCTGATTTACGAGCAGCCTTGGCGGCAAGCTGCTTCCTCGGCGCCTTGCCTCCGGTCGACTTCCTGGCTGTTTGCTTAGTACGAGCCATCTCAGGGAACAACAATGAGATTCTAAGGAATTTTGGGAGAAGGGGGAAGCGAGAACTTTTGAAATTCAATTCAAAATTGAAATTCAGGGGTTTTAAGGTGAAATTGAAATACACATATTTTACTCTTAGGAATTACATTATTAAAATACATGTATTTCACTCAAATTCAATTACTTTTTATTTATGTAAAAATAAACAGTGATATTGAATTTTAACCCATCAAATTCAAATACATTGTTTCAAATTCATGTTACCAAACAGACCATAAATGTATAAATAAGGTGACAAAATGAAAACGTGGGTGTTCAGACTTCA